GAGAGAGAGAGAGAGAGAGACAGAGAGAGAGAGAGAGACAGAGAGACCAGAGAGAGAGAGACCAGAGAGAGGAGAAGAGAGAGAGAGAGGAGAGAGACCAGAGAGAGACAGAGAGAGAGAGAGAGAGACAGAGAGACAGAGAGAGACCAGAGAGAGAGAGACAGAGAGAGAGACCAGAGAGAGAGAGAGAGAGAGACCAGAGAGAGACCAGAGAGAGGACAAGAGAGAGGAGGACCAGAGAGAGACCAGAGACAGAGAGAGACAGAGAGAGACCAGAGAGGACAGAGAGAGACCAGAGAGAGAGACCAGAGAGAGACCAGAGAGAGACCAGAGAGAGAGAGAGAGAGAGACCAGAGAGAGACAGAGAGGAGAGACCAGAGAGAAGAGACAGAGACCAGCGTTGTGTCCAGGAGGGAGTTGACTTAGGACAGTGACCAGAGAGAGAGAGTGCGAGAGAATCGAGAGAGACAAGGAGAGGTGTAAGAGGAAGAGGTCTGAGGAGAGGACAGAGGAGAGAGGGAGAGACTGAGAGAGTGGTGAGAGGTCAGAGGAGAGAAGGAGTGACGAGAGAGAGAGGACAGAGGACAGAGGCAGAGACCAGGAAGAGTCAGAAGGAGAGAGAGCGAGGAAGAGGAGAGAGGACAGAGTGAGAGATGAGTGAGGACAGAGCAGAAGAAGAGAGGAGATGATAAGGGGAAAGGAGAGAGAGTGCAGAGAGAGACAGAAGAAAGACAGAGGAGAGAGGAGAATGAGTGTAGTGTGAGGTGTTGGACATGAGGTGTGGTGTAGTAAGAGACAGAGAGAGAGGAGAAGAGGTCAGAGAGAGTGATGCGAGGAGTGGACAATGTGAGTGAAAGATGGACGGAGAGTGGACCAGAGAAGAGACCAGATGAGAGAGACGCAGATGCGGGTAGCATTAGTGTAGAGTACAACGTGATAGAGAGTCCAGAGAGGAGACCGTGAGTGAGACTAGAGAGAGAGTAACCGGCAGAGTGTGTGTGCTAGAGTCAGAGGTGAGAGGCCATGAGAGAGAGAGACAGTGTATTGTAGTGACATGAGTTGTTGTATCCATGATGTATGTGGGACCATGAGTGTGGTGTGATGTGGCCAGTGTGTGAGACCAGAGGTTATGAATGACCAGAGAGTGTATGTGGCCATGTAGTGAGGTATGGACCAGAGAAGAGTCCAGATAGGAGACCGAGAGAGTAGAGTCCAGAGAGTGTGACCATGAGAGTATGTGTACAGTGTTGTGTACCAGTGTATGTTATGTGTACCTGTGAGATTTTGTTACCATTTTTTTTTTATGTTATGTTTTGGGTCCAGAGTAGATGTTGTTTACAGTGAGATTCAGTGGACTGCAGTAGAGTGTCGAGTAGATGTGAGTGACCATGTAGGTCTGTTCTGTGTCTTGTGAGTATTGTGTTCCTGAAGAATGTTCTTGTAATGGTTGAGATGTGTATAGATTTGTATAGTGTGTGTATTGGTGTGTGGTGTTGTATTTTTTTTTTATTGTTTTTTTTGGGTATTGGTATGTGGTGTTTGTATTGTAGGTGTGTGTATGTGGTGTGTGGTGTGTGTGTGTGTGTTGTTTGGTGTGGTCTGTTCATGTGGTTTACTGAGTTGTTTGTGACAGAGATAGAGGACTGTGGTCTGATGGTTTGGAAAGTGGAGAGTGGTGATGTGGGACAGTGTGAGATAGTGATGAGAGTGTGAGGAAATGTACTGAGGAAAGGACAGAGGACAGAGACAGTGGACAGAGGGACAGAGAGAGAGAGAGAGGAGAGAGGAAGACGGACTGAGGACTGAGGATGAGTACAGTGACAGAACAGAAGAGAGAGGAAGATGAGAGAGAAAAGGAGAGAGGACAAGACAAGACAGAAGACAGAGACAGAGGAGAGAGGAGAGAGGAACATAGAGGAAAGGAGATTGGGAAACTGAGAGGAAGAGGAAGAGGAGAGAGACAAGACAGAGAAGAGGACTGCAGGAACAAGGACAGAGACAGAGTAGGTGTGAGGTAAAGAGGATGAGGAGAGAGGTACTAAGGAGATGAAGAGACAGAGGACTGAGGACATGCAATCACTGAGGAAAGGATGAGTGAGTGGTCATGGAAGGAGGTTGTGAGTGAGGACTGTGGATGAGAGAGAGGAGAGAATGGAACAGAGGTTGTGGATTGTGTGTGATTATGAGGTGTGTGGTGTTTGGTATGTGGATGTTTAATGTATAGGTCATGTGTTATGTTGGTTTGTCTTGGTCAGTGTAAGTGTGTAGGGCGTGAGGTGTTGTGATGATGGTCTGTGGTAAGTGTATGTGGGGTGGTAGAGGACTGAGGAGAGAGGACTGAGGACCTAGTCTGGTATGGTCAAGGACAGAGGATCAAGACAAGAGGTGAGTGGTCAATAATAATAAGAGAGAGAGGTAAGAGGTAGAGGTAAGAGAGAAGACAGAGGACAGAGAAAGAATGTGGAAGAGGAACAGAGAGAGGTAGTGAGAGAGGTAAGTGTCAATGGACAGAGGTGAAGTACAGTGGACAGAGGACAAGGTATGTGGACTGAGGAAGGAGAGGTCGTGGAGAGAGGACAGGAGGAGTGGGTGAAGTCAGGGTACAAGTGTAGAGGACTAGACAGAGGAAGTGGACAGTGGTGTTGACTGAGGTAGAGGAGAGAGAGTGAGGACAGAAACAGTAGGAGAGAGGACTGAGTGAGAGACTGATGGAAGAGTATACAGAGGACAGGAGGAGAGAGACAGAGACAGTGGACACAGAGGGATGAGGAGAGAGGACAGAGGACAGTGTCAGAAGGAATGAGATGATGGACAAGCAGAGACGAGATAGAGGAGAGTGTTGAGGACAGTGGACAGAGGTTTGGTGACTGTTGATTGTGGTGAGGAGGGTCAGAGGCATGGATGTTGGTAAGAGACTGTTTAGGGTGGAGTGTAGGTAAGAAAGAGGAGTGAGGACAGTGATCAAGTCAAGGACAGAGGAGAGAAGGAGTAGAGACAGAGGACAGAGGAGAGAACAGAGGACAGAGGAACAAGGACAGAGACTGAGGACAGAGGAGGACAAGTCCCCAGAGGTCTCATGTCTGATGTGAATCTCCCACTTATAGAGATGTCCTGCTGATCAGTGTTTTTTGATTGTGGTCCTGATTCCGGGACGTTTAGTCTGCGTGTGAGGCAGGGGGTCTTCCCTGTGTGAGGGAGTGCGAGGAAGGGGTTGGGTGTGGAGGTGTGCGGGAGGGGGGCAGCGAGGGGGGGTGGGTGGTGTGTTGGGATGGGGGGTGGGGGTGGGGGTGGGGCAGTTGGCGAGGGGGGGATGAGTGGTGAGGCAGGGTTGGGGGTGTCCCCTGTGTTCGCCTGGGCTGTATTGTGAGACATGTTGTGGTTGTGGGTTTTAGTAATTGAAGGTGGGTTGATCAAAGTCCTAAATGTGTATAATTAGGGGTTATGGTTTCTAGGTTGTTTTAAGAGTCCACTGATCATCAGGAAGTCAAGCACTCTGTATCAGGTCCTACTCGGTCATCCTCTGTCCTCTGTCCTCTCTCCTCTGTCTCTCTCTGTCCTCTCTGGTCTCTCTCTGTCTCTCTGTCCTCTGTCCTCTGTCCTCTCTCTCTCTCCTCTGTCCTCTCTCTCTCTCCTCTGTCTCTCTGTCCTCTGTCCTCTGTCCTCTCTCTCTGGTCCTCTCTCCTCTCTCTCTGTCCTCTGTCTCTCTCTGGTCCTCTCTCTGGTCTCTCTCTGTCCTCTCTCCTCTGTCTCTCTGGTCTCTCTCTGTCTCTCTCTGGTCTCTCTCTGGTCCTCTCTGGTCTCTCTCTGTCTCTCTCTCTGTCCTCTGGTCTCTCTCTGTCTCTCCTCTGGTCTCTCTGTCTCTCTCTGGTCTCTCTCTGGTCTCTCTCTGTCCTCTCTCCTCTGTCTCTCTGTCCTCTCTCCTCTCTCCTCTCTCCTCTGTCCTCTCTCTGGTCTCTCTCTGGTCTCTCTGGTCCTCTCTGGTCTCTCTCTGGTCCTCTGTCTCTCTCTCTCTGGTCCTCTGTCCTCTGTCTCTCTCTGGTCTCTCTCTGGTCTCTCTCTGTCCTCTGTCCTCTGTCTCTCTCTGGTCCTCTCCTCTGGTCCTCTGTCTCTCTCTGGTCTCTCTCTCGTCTCCTCTGTCTCTCTCTGTCCTCTCTCTGTCTCTCTCTGGTCTCCTCTGTCTCTCTCCTGGTCTCTCTCTGTCTCCTCTGTCCTCTCTCCTCTGGTCTCTCTCTGGTCTCTCTCTGGTCCTCTGTCTCTCTCTGGTCTCTCTCTGGTCCTCTCTCTCGTCTCTCTCTGGTCCTCTCTCTCTGTCCTCTGTCTCTCTCTGGTCTCTCTCTGGTCTCTCTCCTCTGTCCTCTCTCTGGTCTCTCTCTGTCTCTCTCTGTCTCTCTCTGTCTCTCTCTGGTCTCTCTCTGTCTCTCTCTGGTCTCTCTCTGTCTCTCTCCTCTGGTCCTCTCTGTCTCTCTCTGTCTCTCCTCTGGTCCTCTCTCGTCTCTCTCTGTCTCTCTCTGGTCCTCTCTCTGGTCTCTCTCCTCTGTCCTCTCTCCTCTGGTCCTCTCTCCTCTGTCTCTCTCTGTCTCTCTCTGGTCCTCTCTCCTCTCTCCTCTGTCTCTCTCTCGTCTCTCTCTGGTCTCTCTCTGGTCTCTCCTCTGGTCTCTCTCTGGTCTCTCTCTGGTCTCTCTCTGTCTCTCTCTCTCTCTGTCTCTCTCTGGTCTCTCTCTGTCTCTCTCCTCTGGTCTCTCTCTGTCTCTCTCTCTCTCTCCTCTGTCTCTCTCTGGTCTCTCTCTGTCTCTCTCTCTGTCCTCTCTCTGGTCTCTCTCTGTCTCTCTCTGTCTCTCTCTGGTCCTCTCTCCTCTGGTCTCTCTCTGTCTCTCTCTGTCTCTCCTCTGGTCTCTCTCTCTGGTCTCTCTCTGGTCTCTCCTCTGGTCTCTCTCTGGTCTCTCTCTGGTCTCTCTCTCTGTCCTCTCTCCTCTCTGGTCTCTCTCTGGTCTCTCTCTGTCTCTCTCTGGTCTCTCTCTGTCTCTCTCTGGTCTCTCTCTGGTCTCTCCTCTGTCTCTCTCCTCTGGTCTCTCTCTCTCTCCTCTCGTCTCTCTCTCCTCTCTCTGTCTCTCTCTGGTCTCTCTCTGGTCCTCTCTGTCTCTCTCTGGTCTCTCTCTGGTCTCTCTCTGGTCTCTCTCTGTCTCTCTCTGGTCCTCTCTCTGGTCTCTCTCTGGTCTCTCTCTGGTCTCTCCTCTGGTCTCTCTCTGGTCTCTCTCTGGTCTCTCTCTGGTCTCTCTCTCCTCTGGTCTCTCTCTGGTCTCTCCTCTGTCTCTCTCTGTCTCTCTGGTCTCTCTCTGGTCTCTCTCTGGTCTCTCTCTGGTCTCTCTCTGGTCTCTCTCTGGTCTCTCTCTGGTCTCTCTCTGGTCTCTCTCTGGTCCTCTCTCTGGTCTCTCTCTGGTCTCTCTCTCTCTCTGGTCTCTCTCTGGTCTCTCTCTGGTCTCTCTCTGGTCTCTCTCTGGTCTCTCTGTCTCTCTCTCTGGTCTCTCTCTCTGGTCTCTCCTCTGGTCTCTCTCTGGTCTCTCTCTGGTCTCTCTCTCTGGTCTCTCTCTCTCTGTCTCTCTCCTCTGGTCTCTCTCTGGTCTCTCTCCTCTGGTCTCTCTCTGGTCTCTCTCTGTCTCTCTCTGGTCTCTCTCTCTGTCCTCTCTCTGGTCTCTCCTCTGGTCTCTCTCTGGTCTCTCTCCTCTGGTCTCTCTCTGGTCTCTCTCTGGTCTCTCTCTGGTCTCTCTCTGGTCTCTCTCTGGTCTCTCTCTGTCCTCTCTCCTCTGGTCTCTCTCTGTCTCTCTCTCTGGTCTCTCTCTGGTCTCTCTCTGTCTCTCTCTCTCTCTGGTCTCTCTCTGTCTCTCTCTCTGGTCTCTCTCTGGTCTCTCTCTCTGGTCTCTCTCTGGTCTCTCTCTGTCTCTCTCTGGTCTCTCTCTGGTCCTCTCTCCTCTGGTCCTCTCTCTGGTCTCTCTCTCTGGTCTCTCTCTGGTCTCTCTCTGTCTCTCTCTGGTCTCTCTCTGGTCTCTCTCTCTGGTCTCTCTCTGGTCTCTCTCTGGTCTCTCTCTGGTCTCTCTGGTCTCTCTCTGGTCCTCTCTCTGGTCTCTCTCTGGTCTCTCTCTGGTCTCTCTCTGGTCTCTCTCTCTGGTCTGTCTCTGGTCTCTCCTCTGGTCTCTCTCTGGTCTCTCTCTGGTCTCTCTCTGGTCTCTGTCTCTTGTCTCTCTCTGGTCTCTCTCTGTCTCTCTCTGGTCTCTCTCTGGTCTCTCTCTCTGGTCTCTCTCTGTCTCTCTCTGGTCTCTCTCTGGTCTCTCTCTGTCTCTCTGGTCTCTCTCTGTCTCCTCTGTCTCTCTCTGGTCTCTCCTGTCTCGTCTCTGGTCTCTCTCTGTCTCTCTCTGGTCTCCTCTGTCTCTCTCTGGTCTCTCTCTGGTCTCTCTGTCCTCTGGTCTCTCTCTGGTCTCTCTCTGGTCTCTCTCTGTCTCTCTCTGACTCCCTCTCTGGTCTCTCTCTGGTCTCTCTCTGGTCCTCTCTCTGGTCTCTCTCTCTCTCTCTGGTCTCTCTCTGTCCTCTCTCTGGTCCTCTCTGTCCTCTGTCCTCTCTGGTCTCTCCTCTTTCCTCTGTCCTCTCTCCTCTCTCTCCTCTGTCCTCTGTCCCTCTGTCTCTCTCTCTGGTCCTCTCTCCTCTGTCCTCTGTCCTCTGTCCTCTTCTCCTCTGTCCTCTCTCCTCTGTCCCCTCTCCTCTGTCCTCTCTCCTCTGGTCTCCGTCTGTCCTCTCTCCTCTCTCTGGTCTCTCCTCTGTCCTCTCTCCTCTGGTCTCTCTCTGTCCTCTCCTCTCTCCTCTGGTCCTCTGTCTCTGTCTCCTCTGTCTCTCTCTTGTCTCTGTTCCTCTGGTCCTCTCTCCTCTCTCTCTGTCCCTCTTCCTCTGTCCTCTCTCCTCTGCTGTCCTCTCTGGTCTCTACCTCTGTCTCTGTCTCTCTCCTCTGGTCTCCTCTGTCTCTCTCCTCTGGTCTCTGTCTTGTCTCTCTCCTCTGTCTCTCTCCTCTTCTCTCTGTCCCTCTGTCCTCTCCTCTCCCTCTGTCCACTCTCCTCTGTCCTCTCTCCTCTCTCTCTCTCTGGTCCTCTCTCCTCATGTCCTCTCTCACTCTCTCCTCTGTCTCTCTCCTCTGTCCTCGTCTGTCCTCTCCTCTCCTCTCTCTCTGTCCTCTCTCCTCTGGTCCTCTCACCTCTGTCCTCTGTCCTCTCTCCTCTGTCCTAACCTCTCTCCTCTGTCTCTCCTCTGTCTCTCTCCTCTCGTCCTCTCTCTGGTCTCTGTCCTCTGTCTCTCTCCTCTGTCCCTCTCTCTGTCCTCTCTCTCTGTCCTCTGTCCTCTCTCCTCTGTCCTCTCTGTCCTCTCTCCTCTAGTCCTCTCTCCTCTGTCCTCTCGACCTCTCTCCTCTTCCTCTCTCTCTCTCTCCTCTGTCCTCTGTCCTCTCCTCTCTCTCTCTGTCTCTGTCTCTGTCTCTCCTCTGTCCTCTCTCTCTCTCCTCTGTCACTCTCCTCTTGTCCTCTGTCCTCTGTCCTCTGTCCCTCTCTCCTCTGGTCTCTCTCTGTCCTCTCTCTCTGTCCTCTGTCCACTCTGTCCTCTGTCCTCTGTCTCTCTCTCTGTCTCTCTCCTCTGTCCCTCTCTCCGCTCTCCTCTGTCCTCTCCTCGCTCTGTCTTCCGTCCTCTGTCTATGTCCTCTCTCCTCTCTCCTCTCTCTCTCTGTCCTCTCTCTCTGGTCCTCTGTCCTCTGTCCTCTCTCTGTCCTCTCTGGTCCTCTGGTCCTCTCTCCTCTCTCCTCTGTCCGCTCTCTCTGTCTCTCTCTGTCTCTCTCTGTCCTCTGTCCTCTGGTCCTCTGTCTCTGTCCTC